TCCTCCTCCTCCTCCTCCTCCTCCTCCTCCTCCTCCTCCTCCTCCTCCTCCTCCTCCTCCTATCCCTCCTCCCACTCCTCCCCCTCCTAGGGGGTCGACATCGAACCGAATCGGCCAGGCCACGCTGCACAACAGCGCCGTGCGCGCATCGGGCCACATCGGATCGTCGAGACATCGGAATCGAATCGGATCGACTTGGGACTGACCCTGTAACTAGGGGCGGCTCCGTGGGCCGTCCTTTGACGGCCCCGGAAGAAAGCCTCCAACGAGGCCAAAGGCGTCCAACGAAAGCTGGCCGCCGCGGTCTGCTCTGGGCCGCCTGGACCGGCGGGTTTGCGCGCGCGGCGGCAGCCTCGTCCCGCTGCTGGTACATCAGACGGGCCAGCTCGCTGCCGAGCGCGCTGGGCACCTGCCGCCGGCAGCCCAAGCGAGCGACGGGTTGTCGCCGTCGTCGTCGCTGCAATCGTCGGCGTCGGCGTCGTCGTGGTCGTCGTCGTCGTCCTCGGTCGTCGGTCGTCGGCGGTTGATCTTCCTCGTCGTCGTCGTCCTCCTCCTCCTCCTCATCCTCCTACTCGTCACCAGGCGTAGGCATCGCGCTGGCGGCCGCTATGACCGCCGACCTTGAGACCTGCGAAAGGCAGGGTGCGGCCGGAACCAAGGGGGCCAACAGGGACCCAGGCAGCGCCACCGGCGTGAGCCACCACACCCTTTGGCCGTGTGGTGCCGAGTCCTGCTGTGAGCTGCCCGGCCACTGTTCGTGGGAGCGCCATGACCAAGGCGTGCGCGATCCCCCGTGCCTCCGCCCCACCCGGCGGCAGAGCAACATCTCCTGTGACGGGCACGGTCGAGGCGGCCGGGAGGCCTTTTGCGCAGCAGTTCCCCAAACCGGCACTTTGTGCAGACGGGTGGCGATCTTTATGTCTGCAGAGCGCTCGGTAAAACCAATACGAGGCGAAAAGAGGCCTCTGCCAATAATGATGAAGGTGAGTATCACCACCCTTCTGGGCCACCTGCGAACATCCTATGAGGCGTGCCGCGCGAAGGCCATGGAGCACGCCGCCCATGCTCCAGCGACAAATGGCTGCTGTCCGCCCGCCCTCGGTCGTCATCGCACCCGCCCGTGGTACGCAGGGCTGATGCTTGTTTCTCCCTCTTCCCCCTCTTCCCCAGTCCTCCTCCACCGTCCATGCCCCCACCCAAACGACAAACGATCTGTTTTTGTTTCAACGCGCTTCCTCACAAGTCCCGACCCCTTTCCCTGCGGTAGCTGTTCGTCCCAGATCTGCGTTTGATAGTCCCAAGCATCCATACCAACTACCAGAAGCCGGACGCAGGACGTCGGAGATCTGTGCCTCGCCCCCTCAGTCCATCTCTCCCTCCCCTCCGACAACCACGGCCCACCACGACGGCGGCGACGACGACGACAACAACGACAACGACGACCACGATGAAGACGACGACGACAACGACGACGACGACGACCACCATTTCCACGAACACAACGAAGACGAAGACGACGACGACGACGACGACGGCGGCGACGGCGGCGACGACGACGACACGCGCGGCCAGGCGCGCGCGCGGGGCCCGCGCCTCCTGGCCGTCGCGGCTGCTCTTCAACGGACCGCCGGGGCCGCTCCTGGGCGCCGAGGGCGGTGGGAGCGGGCTCCTCTCCTGCCAGCGCGTTCGGGCCGAGGGGCGGGCCTTGTCGCGGGCGACTGGTACCCTGCCGCACAAGGAGGGGGGATGAGGAGGAGGAGGAGGAGGAGGAGGAGAAGGAGAAGGAGGAGGAGGAGGACGAGGAGGAGGAGGAGGAGGAGGAGATGGAGGAGGAGGGGAAGGAGGAGAAGGAGGGGGAGGAGGAGGATGAGGAGGAGGAGGAGGAGGAGGAGGAGGAGGAGGATGATAAGGAGGAGGGGGGGGGGAGGGAGGTGGAAGGAGGGGAATGATATGAAGACGACCGATGATGATGAAGATGATGATGATGATGCCTGATGATGATGATGATGATGCTGATGCTGAAGGCTGATGATGATGATGAGATGAATTGATGATGAGTGGATGATTGATGAAGATAATGATGATGAGATATAGATGAAAATGCTGATAGATGATAGAAGATGAATAGGAGGAGGAGGAAGGAGGTAGGAGGAGGAGGCAGGAGGAGGCAGAGGAGGAGGGAGGAGGACGAGGAGGACGAAGAAGATGAGGAGGAGGAGGAGGAGGAAGAGGAGGAGCAGGAGCAGGAGCAGGAGCAGGAGGAGGAAGATGAGCATGAGGATGAGGATGAGGAGGAGGCAGAGGAGGCCGAGGAGGAGGGAGGAGGAGGACGAGGAGGAAGAGGGGGAGGGAGGAGGATGAGGATGAGGAGGACGAGGAGGAGGAGGAGGAAGAGGAGCAGGAGCAGGAGCATGAGGAGGATGAGGATGAGGATGAGGATGACGAGGAGGAGGAGGAGGAGGAGGAGGAGGAGGAGGAGGAGGAGGAGGAGGAGGAAGGAGGAGGAGGAGAGTTTTCTCCAGCAACACGGTCGAGATGGCCGCGCCTTGGAAGGGGCCAGTACGTCCGAAGTGAAAGGGACCACCTCTCGGCGTCGTGCTCTCTTTCTCGAACTCATGTGTGATCGTGCATCGGGGTCGTCCTCTCTGCAGTGCCGCAGTAGGAGGAGAAGGAGGAGGAGGAGGAAAAGAAAGATGAGGAAAAGCAGGAACAGAAGGAGCAGGAGAACGCGACAAGCCGTGCTCCTGGAGTTCGCCTGACGCAAAGATGGAGGAGGAGCCCGAGGAGCCGGAAGAGGAGAAGCTGCCGCCGCCGCCGCCGCCGCCGCCGCCGCCTCCGCCGTCGTCGTCGTCCTCTCCGCCGCTGCCGCCGCCGCCGCCGCCGTCGTCGTCGTCGTCGTCGTCGTCGCCGTCGTCGTCGTCGTCATCGTCGTCGCCGTTGCAGTCGCCGTCGCCGTCGCCGTCGTCCGTCGTCCGTCGTCCGTCGTCCGTCGTCGTCGTCCGTCGTCGTCGTCGTCGTCGTCGTCGTCGTCGTCGTCGTCGTCGTCGTCGTCGTCGTCGTCTACTTCGGTCGTCGTCGTCGTCCTCGTCGTCGTCGTGGGTCAAAATTTCTGCCCGTCCGTCCGTCGTCGTCGCCGTCCGACGTCGTCGTGCGCGCGACACGCCGTCATCACCATCGTCGTCGTCCATCTCATCGTCCCCACGCTCCCTCTCATCCACCTGGGGAGGGTGAGGAGGAGGGGGAGGAGCAGGAGGAGCGAACGAGCGGAGAAGCGAGCGGAGAGGAGGAGCAGGAGCAGGGGAGGAGGGGGAGGCGAAGGAGGGACGAGGAACAGGAGGAGGAGGAGGAGAAGGAGGAGGAGGAGGAGAAGGAGGTTGAGGAGGAGCAGGAGGCGAAGGAGGAGGAGGAGGAGGAGGAGAAGGAGGAGGAGATGAGGTTGAGGAGGAGGGGGGATTGGCAGAAAACCCTGCGCACCCCTGTGGTTGACGACGGCGGCGACGTCGACGACGACAACCGCGGGGGGGAGGCAGGAAGGAACACAAAACACTATGTTTCGGACTATGTTGGATGAGGAGGGAGGCGTGGGGGAAGGAGCGAGGAGGAAGCGGGCGAGGAGAGAAGGAGGAGGGAGGAGGGAGCTTGGGGGAAGGAGCGAGGAGGAGCGAGTAGGAAAAGGGCGACGAGGAGCAGCAGAGAGGAGGAAGGAGCGAGGAGAGCGAGTATGAGTGAGGAGGAAGAAGAGAAGGATCACGAACAATGAACGCGAACATGAGCGAGAATGGGGTAGAGAGGAAAGGAGGAGGATGAGGAGGTGGAGGCTCTCTTGTCAAGTGCCCCCTAGACACTTTCAAACGCATTCCTTGCTCCTGCCTCCTGCCACCGCCCTCCTTCTTCACTGGAGGTCCCCAGTGATCCCCTCCGGAGATCTCCCGAAGCCTCCGGAGCAGACGAGCAAACGCATTCCAAGAACCTCGATCCTGAATCCCTCCCCCACCTCCTCCTGCTCCTCCTCTGATCTTGCAGAGTGCTACGTGAAGCACAGCCCTCCACACTTACACACGTACCCAAACACCTTGAACACCCTGGCTGGAGTTCCGACTCAAGCGTCGCGGTGCTGTGTGGTTCAGCTGGCCCTCCTTGCAGGTCACAGGCCTCCGCGGCGACAGCGAGGGCGAGACAACCGGCCGAAGCGACAGCGAACGACCCGAGTCCGAGACCTGCCGCAGGGGCGGCCCCGAGGGGCGCGCAGGCGCCACAGCAGCGGCGGCGCGCTGCTTCCGGGCCGGGCAGGACCGACCGGACGCCACCGGCTGCGACGCGGCCGAACCGACCGAGCCACGGACGTCCTGCCGCGCTGGCGAACAGCTGGCCACCGCTCGGACGTCCATTCCCTGTGCCTCTTTCGATTTCGTGCGCGTGCTTGTTTTTTTCGCAAGATGACCCAATCTGCTCCTTGACGGTGCTCGCCTAGGAAAACGCACACGTCCGAGCGGTGCCGAGGCATCGCTGGCCCTGGCTTCCTCAGCATGTCAACCTTCAGGACTGTCGGCATGCATTTGCCGCGCCTTGGCCTCCTCGCTCGGAGTTGGCTGTGGCTTGCAGGCCCATGGCGCCCAAGCTCCACGACCGTCCGGCTACAGTGGTGCCTCGGTCGATGACCGGAGCTGGACGCTGGAAGGTCCAAGTCGGAGGACACCTGGCACGGCAGGTGCGGGCGAGCTCGGATCGGATCGGGGACGGATCGGCTCGCGGGCGAGTCGTCCCGAATCGACTCGAGATCCCGTCGCCGCGCCTGGCCCCGCCCCCGCCGGCGTCGGCGGATCGAGCCGCATCGAATCGGACCCGCGGCCAGGGCCAGCGATGGTTGCGTGTTCACCGACCCCAGTCCAGCAGAACATGACTGCTCATGGTGGACATTGCTTGACGACTACTCTCCGTCGCTAGACTGGTGAGGATGAGCCACGTCTACATCGCAGAGCGGGGGGATGATGGGAATGGGCACGCCAATCCTTCACAAAAACCTTGTCCCGATGTGTAGCCGCCGCAAGCGCCGCGGCGACCTCCAAACTGGCGCGGAGGCTTGACTCGGGGTTGCAACGAAGCCAATCGAATGGCATCGAATCGCATCGGGCGCTACTGGGCGCTACTTGACACTATTGAGCGCCAGTGGGCGCAACTGGCCGATATTCGTTCAATCCCAGACTGGCGGACACCTCCGCGATTTGCTCCCCGACGGATCGAAGGGGAACCGCGGCCCCAACGAGTGCAACGACCCGCGCCGAATCGCACCGCAGTCTGGGGTCCGCATCGAGGGGCGACGATATGGGGAGGCCTGGCATGGGGGGGGGGAACATCGACCTGGCATCATCGGGCGCTACTGGGCGCTACTTGACACTATTGAGCGCCAGTGGGCGCAACTGGCCGATATTCGTTCAATCCCAGACTGGCGGACACCTCCGCGATTTGCTCCCCGACGGATCGAAGGGGAACCGCGGCCCCAACGAGTGCAACGACCCGCGCCGAATCGCACCGCAGTCTGGGGTCCGCATCGAGGGGCGACGATATGGGGAGGCCTGGCATGGGGGGGGGGAACATCGACCTGGCATCGAGGATACGTCGCCGATAGAGCGGCGACAGGCCCCCGATGGCAGATCCGCACGGTCCTGGGCCGGGTGGGGCCCTCGAGCCCCTGTCGGCGATCAGTATGGGCGATTGGGGGCCGATGCGCTCCCGCCTGCAGTGCGGACCTGGGGCAGAGGGACATCCTGCAGGAACATGAGGCCCTCCACCGGCCAAAACACCCCCAACCCTTAGGATCCTTCGAGGGTGCCCCCCCCCAGAATGCGCAAGAGCATCCAACAGACACGAAGAGCATCAGGGCACCCTCCCCGAACCGACCTCGATATTCTACCTCGGTCCGGCTGTATGAGGAGAAGCAACGACGGCATAAACATCACCTTCTGGCGCTCCGCGTGGATGATTTGGATCTGCGCTGGACCCCCCTGCCTGGCGCGCGCAGCGCGCCAAGGGCGGCGCTGGAGGAGCCGCCAGGGGGCCCTTGGCGCGTATCCAAGAAAGTGAGCGTTTTTTTTGTATTCGGCGTTTCGAAAAGGTTTGCAAAACAGTGAATGGAAAAAACGATCACAAATCCGTGAGGGGCGCCAGAAATTTATGTCTATGGCGTTCTTTCTTCCTCGATGTATGCCCAATTGCCCCTGACCCTCCTTCTGGAGTCCCGAATCAGTGCCGTGACAGACCGTGCGGTGACCTCGAGATTCCCCCGAGACCTCACCGCACGGTCCTTCAACGCAAGGTCTTGGGACCCTGGAGGCCCCAGTCGCCCGAGACATCCTCGAAGAACGACCCAAGTCCCAAAACCGTCAGGGCTGAACCTAAACGGTGCTTCTCGTTTTCGTTCTCCCTCGCTGCTGTCTCGAATCCGCCTGTACCACAGACCGAAGCCGAAACGCCACGAAATCACCAAACACACCGTTTAGGTCCAGACCTGAACACCGTGGTGTGGCCCCGAATCCCCACCGACTCACCACACGGTCCACACGGTGTGGTCACCACCCCGCTCGGGGGCCCCCGACTCCTGCTCCCTCGCGGGCGCGGCCGCCCGGGCGCTCGCCGCGGCGCGGCCCCAGCCCCACCGGCGGGTGCGGTCCTGAGGGCGTCCGTCTGCGAGTAGGGCAGCAGGCACTGCTTCAGCCACGACACCTCGCCCGGCCGGAAGGGGGCCTGCCTCTTCCTGCTCCTCCTCCTGCTCCTCCTCCCCCTCCTGCTCCTCCTCATCCTCCATCTCATTCTCCTGCTGCTCCTGCTCCTGCTTCTCCTCCTACCTCCTGCTCCTGTTCCTCCTGCCCTCCTCCCGCCTTCCTCTTCCTGCCGTCCTGCCATCTCCCCTCCTCCTGGGAGGGGGGTGACGCTCTTTCACTCTCACCAGAACTCGGCCATCGCGACGACGTCACCCACGAACACGGCATCCACCACTGCAACAGAGCTGTGCCGCAGCGCGAGGCAGAGGTACGCGCGACGGCCGGCGAGTTCACGAGAGTGGAGGGAGAAGGCCGAAGGGGGCAAAAGGGGGGAGCGCGGAGAGGAGAAGGCTTCCTCGGGCGTTCCTGTCCTGAGCCTCGAGGCAGAACAGAACTCACACGACAGCTATAGGCCATTCTTGCCAATGCGGCGGAGGGAGGGGGGAGAGGAGAGGGGAGAAGGGGAGAGGAGAGGGGAGGGGATACCCGAAGGCGTGTGGCTCAGGGGCGCCTTGACCCTGTGAGTGGGACCAGGGGCCTGGTTATCCTAGTGGTGCACCACTCGAGGACAGCAGGACACCTATAGAGCAAAACGACGGGATTGATGGTGAACGTGCCAGAAACCCCAACTCGCTTTGTCCAAAGACCCTACCCTGCCTCGAGTTCGACGGTTCAGCTTGAACCTCGTGTCCGATGGGGCAATGTAGCCAGGGGGGATACAGTTCGAAGACTCCTTTAGGCGCAAGCTGGGCCGAGGGAAGGGGGGGGGGAAAGGAATGACGAGAGGGTGGAAGCAGGAGGAGGAGGGATAGGAACACAAGGACGCCGACGAGGGGATGGAGGGAGAAGAAAGGAAGGGGGATCGGATGGGAAGACAAGGGGGAAATGAAGGACATTAGGTGATCCTGGACGAGGAAATGGAGGATGGTGATGGAAGATGCTGGGATGAACCAAAGCCCTCCACGGCGACAACGCGACCGTCAACCTACCTAACCGCATCGTTCCCGAGCAGGCTCGAGACTGATCAAACATGAGGGTTGTGGCTGCGCATGGATTGAGCTGCATCTGTTCTTGAGGCCTCCAAGATCTTCTATGTCACCCAACTTCGCGGTTCGCGCTGCACGAAGCGCGATTAGCTTCGCGCTCCGGCGGGTGCTCTATGCCAGTAGTAGGGCCCGAACTACACGACCTGATTGCAATACTGTGTCCCGTCCAAGACATCCGATGCTTAAATCCCACCAGCCCTCTGGGCGTAGGTGGTCTAGGGAGGCTCCTCTTCCAACCCCCTTCTTCCCTTTCGGGGAGGGGTTTATCCCTCGCCCTACCCTCTCCCTTGGACCTGGACGGGCGGTGCCGCGACCCACTGGAGCGTCCAAAACGGCCTCGGCGAGAAAGCCAAAATCATTGGTTTTACTCGAGTTGTGCCCCCACTTGGGCCTCTTGGGGGGGCAACGTTACAATAGAAACCCTCTTCTTCGATCGATCTCCTCCAAGATGGCCACAAGAGGCGCCCAGGAGGCCCCAAGAGGTCCCACGATGGCCCCAAGATGGCCCCAAGAGACCCCCAAAAGGCCCCCAGGAGGTCCCCAAGGGGACCCCAAGCGGCCCCAAGAGGTCCCCCCGAGGCACCCAAGACGCCCAAGAGCCCCCAAGACCGCCAAGAGACCCCCAAGACGTCTCAAGAGGCCACCAAAAAGCACCCAGGATATACCCCGGGAGGCTCCGAGAGGCATCCAAGAAACCTCTGGCCCTGTTGCCTACCCTCCACCTCCTGCTCCTCCTCCTCCTCCTCCTACTCCTTCTCTTCCCCCTCCCCCTCCTCCTCCCCCTCCCCTGCCTCCTCCTCCTCCTCCTCCTCCTCCTCCTCCTCCTCCTCCTCCTCCTCCTCCTATTCATCCTCTTCTCCCCACTCCCTCATCCATCCATCCATCCAGCCTCCTCCTTATCCTCCCTCCTTCGCACGGTTCGGCCGTCCCCCTCTTTGCTCCCGCACTTCCCTGATCACCTCAACTCGCCTGGGCATCGTTTCTGAATGGGCTGGTAAGGATACTTTTTTGATTGACGGCTCCAAGGACAGATCCAAGAAATGGGACGGGCTCGGCTGGGGTGCAGGGCGAGATAGCTGGTAAGGATACGCGAAACGTCTAGAATGATTTCTTTCCGCTGGCCCAGAAGACTCGACCCATTCCCCTTACGTATAACGGACTTCATGGGAGTTTCGACTGGGCAGACACTCTTGGGCCAACCTCGGGGATGTACGATGGAGGCTTGGAAATTGGCATTTACCTCAAGTCAAGGGGGTGCCTCCACTGGGAGAAGGTGGTCCTGGATATTGGTGCTGCTGGAAATTAACCTACCGCCCACCTAGAACGCCCGAATATCACCACCATCACATCACCGAGATCGGGGTCATCTTTCCCCAGGGGCGGCAGGGGTCGCTATTGGCGCGTTGGTGCTCAACCCCTAGGCCTGCGACATCCCAGACCCCCGACGTCATGATGTTTTACAACGTCGACCCTCAAAGGTCTCGATCCACTCCCAAGGACTGCTTTTTCAAATCATTTTTTGACGGTCCCCAAGCCCGGTAAAGACCCCCGAAAGCCGAACATTGCGAGAAACCTCCCGTCGTGATTCTTTCATGACTAGACAAGCGCGTTCCACTACTCGCAAAGTAGCTACTCGCAAATGGCCTGGATCCGCCGCAGGGGATTTACGATATATTGCACAAGGGCAGACGTATGATTTTTAGGACGTTTGCGAGTAGGCACTTTGCGAGTAGTGGAACGCGCTCGGCGAATGACTCGAGAGGGTCTGGGGCAGGAGCCGATATTGGCGCGTTGGTGCTCAACCTCCAGGCCTGCGAGCTTCAGGTCGCCTGCGAACACCCGCGGCCTCCCACGGCCAGAGGCGGGCCTCCGAGCGGCCCCAGCGGGGCTGCGAGGGGCAGACGGAAGCGGGGGCGCCGCTGATTCTGGCTGCGCGTCTTTGTTGATGTGTTGGATGGGACGAGACTAGACTTGTGCATGCCATGTCAATGGACACCCTAACAATCCTATGTTTGAATCAACAATGTGTTTGAGAACTGTTCTTGAAAAGTCTTTTAACATGTTTAAGACATGTTTGAAACACTCCGTTGATCGCCTCCCACAAGAATAGACGAGACCGGCGTTCCCGCACCGAGGCGCGGCCCTCCGCAGAGCAGGCGGGAGGGGCCTCAGCCCCCGAGAGGCTCAGGACTGCCCACGCGCGACGTTGCCTCTCGACAACATGCCGTGCTCAGCCAGGGCAGCACGGCATGCCACACGCCGCGGCTCACTGCCACACCACCTCATTGGCGAGATTGTCTGCGTGAGCCGCAAGAGAGGATTGCATTTGCTCAGCGGGTCGCCGGTACCGCTGTTTTTTGGATGGGGGGGGGCAAGACTGAGGTCGGGCGTGTCCTCCTACAGGGGGGCTTGGGACGAAAAATGCAAAAGACCCCAAGCATGCTCAAACATATCCTGAACATGATAACAAAAGGTTGTCCTCTGACAATATGTGTTGACTACTTTTGGGCACTCCTCCTGTAGGGGAACAGGCCCGACTTCAAAAACAAGACCGAAAACGGCGCCGCGAAACGGAAGACCGCTCGGCAGACCGGGAGGCGCCGCAACGGGAGACGGCTCCCTCCCCCGGCTCGGGCCGAGACGCGCGCAGCGCGACTCCTCGTCGCGCCCCCACGGGAGGCCTGGTCTTCCGCTTCCCCCCCCCCCCCTGGCCCGACCTCGTTGCTCCGCATCTGCGTCGGGGACGCACTGACCCGGGGCAACGCACACCGGGGCCAGCCAGGCCTTGCAGGCTCCCGCAGGATCCTGCAGGACCCTGCACCCGAGCCCGGGTCCGTGCGCACCTGGCCCTGCAGGATCCTGCAAGGTCTGGCGCTCTGACTGACCCCCGCCTGCACCGACCCCCGTCTCTTCCGCCTGGGCTCAGGTCGGGCATGTCCCCCTACAGGCGGATTCTAGACGAACGATGTTTGCAACAATCAAACCATATGTTAAACAAAAAACGCAAAACATGTTACAAACAGCGTCCCCCGATATTTTAAATATTACTTTTCGGTATTCCTCTGTACACCCTGCGAAATGCTTAAGAAACCATGGGTTAAGAAATTCAGAGTCTCAGAAATTGAATAAAACCCAGAACGTCTATCAAAATCTTGTGATTTACATTGAAAAGTTAAGAATAATCGAGACTCTGGCCGAAAACTTAAGTTTTCTTAAGCATCGCCTAAGGTGTAGAGGGAGAGGGCCCGACTTACACCTGGGCCGCTCACCCTCGCGCCCGGCGCTGCGCGGAGGGCGCGCCACGGCTCTCTTCCCCTCCGCGCCCTCGCGCCGCTGGCTCTCCTGGGAAGCGGTGGGCCGCCCGCAGGAGCTCGGAGGCCGAAGCTCCGGCGGCTCGTCTTGGCACCCCCGCGGGTGGGTCCTCCAACTCCTCCTCCTCCTCCTCCTCCTCCTCCTCCTCCTCCTCCTACTCCTACTCCTCCTCCTCCTCCTCCTCCTCCTCCTCCTCCTCCTCCCTCCTCCTCCTGCTCCTCCTCCTCCTATTCCTCTCTCTTCCTCCTCCTTCCTCACTCCTCACTCCTGCTCGTCCTCCTCCTCCTCCTCCTCCTCCCTCCTCCTCCTCCTCCTCCTCCTGCTCGTCGGGTCCCGCGCTTGCGGCGGTGTCCACCCTCCCCTCGGCGGCGCGCCCAGGGGGCCGGCGACTCCGAGGGGTGCGGCTTTTTGCGAGGGCTATGGCTTGCAACCCGCGCCCCAGGGGGGCGGGCGAGGACCTCGACAGAGTCCTCATCCGCGCACAGAGGCTGAGGGGCAACGATAAGGGGGGGGGTAGGGATAGGGGGGGAAGCATCGACCTGGAATCGGCGATGCATCGCCGAGATGGATCGGCGATGGGCCTGCGATGACTCCGCACGCTCCTGGGCAGGTTGGGGCTATCAGGCTTCGATCGGCGATCAGTGTGCGATTTGGGGCCGATGCGTCCCGTCCTTCTGCCTACCCAAAGGTCGGGCATGTCCTCCTACAGGCGGATTTTGGATGAAAAATAAAACATACCCAACAAAGATTCAAAACATATTCAGAAATCATCCAAGAATCGTCCCCAGACTACTTTTGACTACTTTCAAATCTTCCCTCTATAGAGTGAAATGCCCGACTTACGCCTACCCCCCTCCCCTGTCGTTGCCGCAAGGTAGAAGGCAGGGGGGGGGGGCGGACAGTCTCTCGGAGAAGGGGGGGGGTCAGAAGGCCTCTCGTCTTCTGCGAGGCGCTCCGCACCTTCTCTTGGGTCGGACACGTCCTCCTACAGGGGGATGTTGGACGAAATAGTAGTAATAATAATAATAATAATAAATTTCTAATAATAATAATAATAACACTAGTAACAATAATAGCAGTAATAACACTAATAGTTAAAGAAGTCGCAACACTAATAAATAGTCAAAGCGTACCCCCCCCATGCTCAACAATTAATAAACAAACATCGTGCCCAGACGATTTCTTGAATATGTTTGAAGTCTTCTCCTGTAGAGGGAACGGCCCGACTGAAACCTTCTCCGAAGCCCCGCCGCCTTCCCGTCAAGAAGCGGCCGCGCGCCTTAAAATTGTCGCCGAGCTTGCTGGACATGCCACGCCACTGGCAGTTGAGATCCCTGTCAGGGGCGGAGGTCATGCGACCGTACCTGTGGGGGGGGGGCAAGATCACGACACGTCGCCATACATTCAGACTGGCCTGGTACACGACGTTTCGATTTTTCCTATTCCACCACGGAATAACAAGGACCGCGTCCCCTTAGGTGTCATGTTTCAAGACCGGCGTTCTTCTTCAATTTGGATTATCGTTGCGCCGTTTCGTGTTTGTTGTCACTCCCGTGCTTGATGGTTCGGGATGCCCTTTTTTACCAATCTTGGTTGGCCGCAACCCGAACGATTGAAAACTGAAAAAAAACACTGAGCCCACAACTAAACGCACCCCTATCAAAAACATAGCGGTGACCGTGTCCCGCAGGACTGGGTCCATGTCTATGTTGGGGGTCCTGATGTGAATAGTGCGCAGGGGTTCTCTGTTCGGACGCTCTAGAGCTGCCCCTGTTAGGGAGTAGATTTAAGTCGGGCCTGTCTCCCTACATGGGGATTTTCGAAGACAAATTAAACATAGTCCAGACATATTCAAACATACTCGAAAGATCCTCCCCAGACTATTTGATTTACTATGTTTGGCTACTCCTCCTGTAGAGGGACAGGCCCGACTTAAGAATATATTGTCCCTGACCTGGTCGTCATTGTGCCGACCATTGGTAACAGGCGCTGGGCACAAGGTAACCAATATTTGGAACATCGGCCCGATCAATTGGCAGTGTGCCGCTTACCATCAGCAAAGAGCTCGTGCGAAGAGAGTTGCCATGAGGCGAAGAACGGATTCTGTCCTGGATCTCGGCTTGTCCCTGGTGGCAACTCTCCATCCCGAGCCGTTTTCTGACAGCTCCGAGCGAGAAGAGAGAGGCTCCCCAGGAACGGCGAAACAACTCGGGCTCGGGTCCTTCAGGACCACTTCGTAAACGTTCTCGTATTCGGCGTTGCGACATTGGGCGGAAAGGGGAGGACAGGGGAGGGTATGGCTCTGGACCTCTGTTTAATGCGACTGTTTGCAGCAGTGCGTCCTGTGCGGGAGACTCCCCCTGCTTGAAGCAGGCGTCGAAAACAGCCAAGATCTACTCCATGGAGGGCGGGGGAGACGGGGGGGACGGGGGGTACGAGGGCCCGCGCCGATCGGCAAAACAATGAATAAGAACAAGACGACTTCCCAGAGATCCGATGTATTGCTTTTTCAATGAGGGTCCCCCTGAAAAGTCCCTCAGGCAGTGAGGGGCAACGATAGGGGGGACCGGCATAAGGGGGGATGCATGGACCTGGAATCGGCGATACATTGCTGATAGATCGGCGATAGGCCTCTGATAGTGATTCCGCACGCTCCTGGGCAGGTTGGGGCTATCGGGCCCCTATCGGCGATCAATGGGCGATTGGGGGTCGATGCGTCCCCCCCTATGCCTATTCCCCCCTATCGCTGCCCCTGATCAAAGCGGGCACCCCTGGAAACCCCGACCCTTCCCCTCAGGCAAGCTTCTCGTCCTGAGTCGTTGTTTGGCGGTCCCGGGGCCCAGAGACGGCCACCGCAGGCCGACTGTTATGAACGGCCGACGTGCTGTTTGATTCACTACGCAGGATAACTGGGTAGGAAAGGGGGAGAGGAAGAGGAGGAGGACGAGGAGGAGGTGGAGGAGGAGGAAGAGGATGAGGAGAGGGAGGAGAAGGAGGAGTAAGGAAGCAGGCCTTCCAGCATAAGGGAGCATTCTTCGAAGCCAGGGGCCCTGATAGACATGCGCCTGGATGCATGCAGAAAATTGTTACGCGAGCAAGGCCTCCTGCCTCCTCTGAGGCCCCCCCGGCCTTCTCAGAGGGCCGCTTCCCTCGCGCCACCCCCGTGCTTGGTACAGGCGAGGTATCGCCGACAGATTGGCGAAAGGCCTCTTCAGGTACGTAGCGAAGGAGGGGGAGGAGGAGGAGGAGGAGGAGGAGGAGGAGGAGGAGGAGGAGGAGGAGCAGGAGGAGGAGGAGGAGGAGGAGGAGGAGGCGGAGGCGGAGGGAGGAGCAGGAGGAGGAGGAGAGGGGAGGAGGAAGGAGGAGGAGGAGGAGGAGGAGGAGGAGATGAGGAGGAGGAGGAGGGGAGGAGATGAGGCAGGGGGGAGACGCCCCCCCGCTGCGCGCAGCCAGAGCGCGCGCCAGCGACGTCTGCCCCCAGGGTCCAGGACCCGTCCTCCTCGGGGCCCCCTTCCTGCATGGCGAGCGGGGGGAGGGCTGCGCACCTCGTGGCTCCTCCCCCGACCCAGCTCGTGGTCCCAAGCCCTCTCTCGAAGGTCCCCGGAGGCCCCGGAAGGGCCCCCACGGGATCAAGCACGGCGAGGCCGCGCACGGCGACAGCAAAGCCGAAAGCCGACCGAAGCGACAGCGAAACCGGAACCGGAACCGAACTCGACGCGGGCAGCCGAGAAGGGCGCAACAAGCGCGGCAACGGCACACGAACCGACCGCATTGGACCGACCCAACGCACCCGGGGGCGACGCAACCGAAGCGGCGGAACCGCGAGCACCCCTGGAATCGTTAGGGGCCGCTTCCCTGAGGACCCCGTCGGCCTGTGGCGAGCCGGCGCCCACGCCGCCCGAGCCGGCCGCGACACGGGGTGCCCGTGGAAGTGGCCGGAGCTGCCGGCGCTGAAGATGAGCACCACGTGGTCCGACCTGCGGCGGAGGGTGTGCGGATGCAGAGGGGCGCTTACCTCCCTCCCTAGTCCCCCCTTGTCCTTGCCCTCCTCTTTCCCGCACATCCACCACGTCCCGCCCCTCCCCCCATCCCCCCCTCTGCGTTCTCCTCCCCTCCCCATTCCTCCTCTCCCTCCCCCTATCCGGTCTCCCGCCCCCTCCCCCTTGCCATCCCGTCCCGTTTACCCACTCCCCTCTCCTTCCGTTCCATGTCCCCAATCCTTCCCCAGAAAAGGCACGCAGCAAAAGGGGGAAGAGAGGATGTGAACACGTATGTATGTATGTATGTATGTATGTATGTATGTATGTATGTATGTGTGTGTGTATGTATGTATGTATGTATGTATGTATGTATGTATGTATGTATGTATGTATGTAATGTAATGTAATGTAATGTAATGTAATGTAATGTAATGTAATGTAATGTAATGTAATGTAATGTAATGTAATGTAATGTAATGTAATGTAATGTAATGTAATGTAATGTATGTATGTATGTATGTATGCAATGCATGCACGCATGCATGCATGCCATGTATGTCATGTATGTATGTATGTATGTATGTATGTATGTATGTAATGTAACCCGGAAAGCAAATTTGAACCCCTTGGCGTTATCATTAGCACCGCGCCGTAATTAAATAATTATTTGGGGGGGTTTTCGCCGAGCGATATTATTAGCACCGCGCAAATGGAAGGAAACTAAATAATTCCAGCGCCCCGCCTCGGGTGGCATCCCAATTAGAATTGTAATGAGAATAAGAATACCCCCTGCGATCTGGTGTACCCCCTCCTGGTGCCAGGATAACGCTTCCGGGTGCCGGGTGCGTTATCCTTTCACCGGAGAGGGGGGGGGGTCCTTAATCGCTTACTCGGGTTATGTATGTATGTATGTGTGTGTGTGTCTGTATGTATGAGAGAGCGTGATCCACCGCCGCTTTACTGTGAAAAATTGCCAACCTTTTCCTCCGGAACCCGGGGGTCGCCCTCCTTCCAGGTGCACCCTTTCCGAAAATCACCTATGGTCGTCTGCCCCTCGCAGCCCCTTCTCCCCCGGCAAAAAACCCCCCCTCCCTAACCCCTCCCACCCCCCCCCTCCCCCCCTCGAAAACCAACGGTGGGGGTCTTACCGTTCGAAACCCCCCCCCCCCCCTCCCGGAAAACCGGAAAACCGAGGGGGGGTCACTACCAGCTCGACCCCCCCCCCCGACGCACCGCCAGCAAACGACTCCCGGTCCCTACCACCGCTCGCATCACATCCCCCACTGTTGTTCCCAGCACCACTGTCCTCACCACCACTGTCCCCACTGGTTCCACCACCGTCCCTATTGTCCACACCAGTGCCCCCACCACTGTCGCACTGTCCCCACTGTTCCCACCACTGTTCCCACCACGGTTCCACTCTCCCCACTGTCTCCACGGACCCAACCACTGCCTATCCCCACTGTCCCCACTGTCCCACTGACTCCTCCGCTGTCCCACTGAGCTGTCCCACTGTTCCCACCACTGTCCCCACTGTCCCCACCACTGTCCCCACTGTACCTCTGTCCCATTGTCCCACCGCCGTCCTCGCCACCGCCTTCACCACTGTCCCCACCACCATTGTACCCTCCACTGTCCCACTGTTTCCACCTCATTCCCATTGTCCCCACACCACTGTCCCCACCACCACCGTCACCACCACTGTCCACTGTCCCCCCCTGTTCCCACCATTGTCCCCACCACTGTCCCCACCACTACCGTCCCCACCACTGTCCCACTGTCCCACTGTCCCCACCACTGTCCCGCTATCCCCTCACCACTGTCCCCACCAACACCGTCCCCACCACTGTCCGCACCCCCACTCGGTTTTCGAGGGGGGGGGGGGTTCGAACCGGTAGTGACCCCACCCGTTTTCAGGGGGGGGGGGGTCGAACCGGTAGTGACCCCCCCCCCCTTTTCGATGGGGGGGTGTGGGGGAGGGGTTCGAACCGGCAGTGACCCCCCCCGGTTTTCCGGAGGGGGGGGGGAGGGGTTTGAACCGGTAGTGACCCCCCCCCGGTTTTCCGCCAGCAGCGGTAGAACACGCTCTTTCGTATGTGTGTATGCATGCATGCATGCATGCATGCATGCATGTATGTGTATATGTATGTATGTGTGTATGTATGTACGTATGTACGTATGAATATATATATATATATACACAGAGAGAGAGAGAGAGAGAAAGAGAGAGAAAGAGAGATAACAAACCAAGACAAAGAGAAGTACCTACGGACAACAGAGGTGAAATGATAAGGTAACTGTTCTGCCCGCAGGTGAGGCAATCCCAAATAAATGAAACTACGAAATGAAGGGACCAATTCCAATTTCTTGAACACGCCCATTCCACATGATCCATCATAACCGGCACGGGAAGCGGGGGCAGAGAGGATGCAAGTTCAGAGTGCAATGCAATGGGCGCTCATGTTGACGCACTGGTAGCGGCTTCGGGCACAGACAGTCTAAACGCAATCTGCAAAACAACGGCTCGCAAAGGCAGGGGTACCCGGCTGGGGCACTGCATCTAAATTACGAGGTATTGCTTGAGACGCCGATTGTTGCTTGTGCTCCTGCACCGCCAGAGTCTTTTGATCTGCATAAGTTTGCTCATGGGGTCAGCCAACAACATTGATGGATCTGGACCTGTAAGACGCACCGGGCGAAATCATCAGTCCAGCCTGCGAGTAGTGGCATCGCACCAGCGACAAACACACATAGGAGAAAATGCCAATAATAACTATGGGTGATGAAATGAGGGTCGAAATCATTGGTAGGGGCGGACAAGCAGTGATGCATACACATTCGGACATGTATTTGGATGTTTCAAAAATGGGAAACAATCATATACCTATACGACAACCCTTCGTGTGATAAGGAGGTTGTGTGGGGGGGAGAAGGGGGGAGCCAACATCTGACTCAATCGATCTCACTATCGATCTCACTCACCGGGACACCACGGGACACCACGGGACAACACGGGACACTTGTCGATCTCACCATCGATCTCACCATCGATCTCACTCAACGGGGCACCACGGGACACCACGGGACACCGCGGGACACCTCTCGATCTTACTGTCGGTCTCACTATCGATCTCACTCAACGGGACACCACGGGACTTCTCGGGACACCACATCGATCTCACTATCTATCTCACTATCGATCTCACTCAACGGGGCACCACGGGACGCCTGTCGATCTCACCATCGATGTCACTATCTATCTCGCTTTTTGGGACACCACGGGACACTTCGGGGCACCACATCGATCTCAGTATCGATCTCACTCAACGGGACACCACGGTACACCACGGGGCACCTGTCGATCTCACTGTCGATCTCACTATCAATATCACTTTCTGGGACACCACGGGACACCAGGATACACCTCGGGGCACCACATCGATCTCAATATCGATCTCACGATCGACGTCACTATCAATCTCACTATCGATCTCACTACCGATCTCAATCAACGGGACACCACGGGACACCGCGGGTTACCGCGGGCCACCGCCAGACGGGAGGACGGGGGATAATCGTTTGTCTTGACTTCGCCCTAGCAACGGCGGGCACCACGGGACATCACGGGACACCGCGGGACACCGCTATGGCCACCTCCGGATGGACGGACGGGGGATAATCATTTGTCTTGACTTCGCCCTAGCAGCGGCGGACACCACGGGACACCGGCAGACGGATGGACGGGGGATAATCATTTGTCTTGACTTCGCCCTAGCAGCGGCGGGCTCATTCCTCTCGCGTGCCCACGCAACGTCGCCTCGCCCGCACGCGCGACACGAACGAAACGAAACGACTTCCCGTTTGCGGGTCTCCGTTCCGCTGCGACTTCACCCCGCAACCTCCGACATATACATAGATTTGCATATGTGTTTTGGCCACCGGGGACCCCAACACGTTGGTATGTGGGCGTAGAGCGACCGATGCTGTGAAACCAACGCGGGGTAATATATGCATATATATATACAATACATACACATATACCCATATGTGTATGTACATACATACATATGTGTATATATGTGCATGTGTGATGCAATATGCATGGTGCAACATGAGCGTTGCAATGTGCGTGGGGCAATATGTGTGGCGTGATCGACCTTACCGAACTTAAATTGTCGACTCCACTGCTCGCGCAACCATCCCACCCGCCCGCCCGCAACTTGGTTTGCAAAACCCATGCGGAAGCGATTGCGATGACTGCTTGGTGTTGGCGGGTGCATTCCTGCGGCCGCACTGACCCGCGCATGCTTGCGTGCGCAGCGGTTTGCTGGTTTGGCGCGACCGAACCGAACGCGGTGGCGCTGACCGCTCGGCACATCCCAGCGGGCATTTCAGTGCGAGTCGGCGTGTTGGGCGGGCGCGGTATCATGGCAACGCCGACAACGGTAGCCACGATGATGATAGTAGCGATGCCAGCGACGATGCTGACAATGACGGCGCCGATGCTGATCACGCTGGCGACGATGACGGCGTCTTCGCGTCGGTGATGAACCTTTTGGAACAACTTCGGCACGCACGCTGCAAACGCGCGAGAGTGGCCCCATGGTATTATTTGACGCAGGTCGTGCCACCACACTGCACGCACAAGGTCGTTCGAACGATTTCGACATGCGCGCGAGGCCTGTTTGGTAACATGTCATGAAGAAGTTGAAACACCCATGGTTTTCTAAAGAATTCGCAAAAGCGCGCGCGCAAGTTGGTTTGGAAAGCCAATGTTGCGAAACCCTGTTTGTTGTGTGTGGAGGGGGGTAACCTCGATTTTGAAATCCTCACGACACCTTCGGATTTCCAGCATGCGCGCGCGACGACGCGCGCGTGCGCACTTCGCCGCATGTTTCGCAAACGGTTTCTTCAAACCTTGTGCTTTTTTATAAATGAATGCGCGCGCATAGTGCGACTTTTGATTTTTCGTACAGAAGATGGCGAGGGTGGTCGAT